ATTCCCCATCACCATGTATGGATGTGAGAGCTGGACAGTGAAAAAAGCTGATAGGAAAAAAACAACTCATTTAAGTTGTGGTGTGGGAGAAGAGTGCTAAGGATACTGTGGACAGCCAGGAAGACAAACAATTGGGTCCTTGAACAGCTCAAGCCCATACTACCCCTGGAAGCCAGGATGACTAATTGACACTGTAGTATTTTGGCTGCATCATGAGAAAAAAGGAATAATTAGGAAGGACTACGATGTTAGGAAAGGTGAAAGGAAGTCGAAAAAGAGAAAGACCATACATTAGATGGTTAGACTTGATCAGGGAAGACATGGGCCTGGGCCTGCAGAATTTGAGCAGAGAGGTTAAGGACAGGGGGTATTGGAGATGTCTCACCCACAGGGTCACCATAATAATAATATAATAATAATTTTTATTTCTAAGCCGCCCCTCTGCTTAGCAATCGGGGTGGCATACAGCATAATTTAAAAACAAGAGACAATGTAAAATTCCCATAAATCAAAGTCAACTCAAGGGCATTTAACAACAATACCAGAAATAATTAAATTATATCATTAACACATATGGTCCGCCTCTCCCCCCCCCCCCCCCCCCCCCCCCCCCCCCCCACATACACACAAATAAACATTTTAAAGCAACAGGAAGAAAAGCATTTAAACAAAAGCTCTTTTTCTGTGCCCAGTTCAAGGACCCTCTGAATCCCATCAGTGCATTCTTTTGGGATCCATGGGCCACAAGTTATCCCACCTCCAAACTATGGTGCTTGATTGGCTGACTGGGATTTTCCAGATTTCTGCATTTTTGCTAAGTCCCTTTGTGTCAGTTTTGCCTTCTCCTTCATGAAGATGAGGCAAACAAATTAAACAAAGGTGAAGCAAATTAAAGCAAATTACACAAACACAAGCTCATTGAAGGCAAGTTGAATTAATTAAGAGGAATTAATCTATTCTAAATCTGAGGAGAGGTTACCTCCAGATAGGAATACAAATTCAAATATTCATTAAAGGCAGCAAATGCCTGAGTTTGATTCATGATGTGAAAATCAAAATCTCATTAGTTTCTGTCAGACTGTTAGTTGCTCATAGTATTTTTGCCTACCAATATGAAAGCTATGTAGATGGTACAAAAGAACCTCTCATTAATATATTATTTGATAATGGAGGTCTTGACTTGAACTTCAGTTTCAATTAATGCCATTCATTGACTTTTCATGTTCTTGAGCTTTGATCCAGTATGGAAACATTTGCATGTGGAAATCTACTTTAGTGTAGGGATTCACAGTTTCACACATGCTTCACCCCTTACCCTATTTACGTAAGGTAAAGAGGTAAAGGTATTCCCCTTTGACAAGGTTGTCAAGTCATGTCTAACCATAGGGGGTAGTGCTCATCTCTGTTACTACGCCAAAGAGCCAGCATTGTCAGAGACTACTCTGTGATCATGTTGCCAGCATGATTGCACAGAATGCTGTTTACCTTCCCACCTAAGTGGTACCTATTTATCTACTTGCATTTGCCTGTTTTCGAACTGCTAGGTTGGCAGAAGCTGGGACTAGTGACAAGAGTTCACCGCCTTACATGCAGCACCCAGGCCTCAACCTGCCAATTTTGCAGTCAACAGAGTCAGCATCTTAACCACTTGAGCCACTGCATATAAACAGCTAATATAAATGATTAAAAACCCTAACCCTATAGATATACCCCTGTGGCTGAGGTGTGCTAGTCCTCTATGCCTTACCATTGAGGGTGATATGGAGTGCATGAAAGAGGGCTTTCTAAACTGAGGCACTCCAGTTGTGGAATCTTTCCTCGTGAGCTTCATTCCAGGCACCTTCAAGACTGAACTGATGTATCTCCAAATGCACATGGTTTTGCCAGCTCCCACCACCTTGGCAGAGGTTGATTAAATTAAGGTTTGATTAAATTATTTTTAATCATTTCCATTTTTAATTGTATAAAACTGTTTAAATGTTTTGCTCTAAAAGCTGCGCTAAGATAAGGCAGGATGATCGATCATTCATTCATTCATTCATTGCAAGGCCAGGCAATAATATAATCAATGCAAGCATTAAGCAGGCAATGCAAGGGCTAAACC